TTGTCTTGTGTGGTCTCGTAACTACAGTAGCCGTTTGTATATCGAGGACTATTGAGAGATCTTCAAATCATTGCTTCAAGACATAATTTTAATAGATATTTTGTTTCTCTCATCTAGCTTATATATGTAATTCACTGACAAACATATACCATCTTTTGTTTTACATATCGTCCGTGGACTTCTGATACCTCCTTACCAGAATTTTTGCGCAAAAATTTATTTTAATGCTATCATTTGGCAAAAACACAACATTACGATATCATAAACAGACGTAAATACCAACCAAGTACCAACTTATTTGTTTTACCAAAAAAAAATCTACACAATTTTTTTTAAATGAATAAAATTTGTTTGTAGAAGATACCTAGGTATTATTTTGTACTGGTACTGATATAAGTACTTAACACTTACCTAATCTGTACGTAATTAATAAAATTAAAGAAATTTTATATGTATTGTGAAACCAACTTAGCGACGGGATAAAGGCTTCTGTGGAAAGAAAGGAGGATAAAAAAAAAACGAATTTTAAACTGGGTTTACTTTTGTATTGATAATGCTGCTGAGAGTGACAAGTTATTTATTATTTAAGTTTATAAAGAACATAACCTGCTATTGTTGCCATTATTTTAGCAATGATAAGCCCTAAAATTAAGCTATTGTGGCTAAAATCAAATATTTTTTTAAATTATTAATAATCATTTATTTATCACAAGGTGTTTTAAGCATCAAAAAGGGCCAGGCGTTCGTCGAATTTACTAACGTTCGGGTACCACGCCTCTTCCTGTGCGCGAAACTTATAAGTTACAACGATTTACAAAATACTAGTTATGTACCGTAGCTTCGGTGTGCTAGATAATAAAAATATGGAAATAAAATATATTTATTCATTTATACTCTGGAACATTTATACTTTGTACAATAAACACATTTTCTTTTTGATAGTGTATAACATATGTAGTTATTTGAGAAACGTCATGAAGACTACGTCTAACTACGTCTTATGTTGGAAAAAAGCTGTCGTTGTACAAACGTATATATTATAATAATTGAACATTAGGTACCTAAAGATTTACTTAATTCTATGTTTAATATAAAAATGGACATAGTGCTTTTGTCTACATACGTATTATATACGTATAATGTATATAGATACATGTAAATAATAAGTGTTCCACTAGGGTGACAAATCCTAGTGTTTAAAAAGACGTTATTGTGTTTGGTTCGTATGTAAGTATGTTTGTTTGTTCACGCATTTCTCCGAAACTAGTTATTGGATCGTGATCATTAATTTTCTATTTGCTTACATTTATTTCAACTTGGGGAATAGTAAAGATTTCATCAAAATTGTTTCAGTACTTTTAATGATATGGACTAAAACGTGAAACTAAAACTGAAATAGTTTTTGTGATTAGGTACTGCTTATTACAAAAACAATTTCAGTTTTTAGTTGAAACTAAATATTATGAAATAAAAAGTAATTTAAATTTCAAAATTCGTTTTTAGCCGTAACCATTATAAAACAAGACTTGCAAACAAATTAGCATGAAATATATCAAAATACTTAGCAGTCTACCTTCAATGGGGTGGGTAGTGGCAATAAAAATGTAAATAAACCCTGCCTTACGTGTCAGGGGGTGTCCGCGGGTGCAAGTATCGCCCACGTCCACATGTTTATTCAATGACTTAATAATTATTAATTTCATGTACGTTTTAATTTAAAATAGTAAAATCAGATATTTATAGAGACTTACACAAAAATATAAACGTTTTGTTTTTACCATATTGCCCGTACAAAAAAAAAAAAAAACAAGAATAATTTATGAAATATTTTTATTTTATAAATTTAATCCATGATGTAATATGAAATACTAGCGACTCACCCTAGCTTCGCTCGGGTTCGTAACTAGGTACATCTTAACTGTTAGAACCAATGGAATAGATAGTCGATCCCTTGCTCTGTGAAAAACAAAAACAAATTTAATTGAACGTACATTTTTCAGGATAAAAAGTAACCTATGAAGCTATTCCAGATTACAATCTATCTCTGTGCAAATTTCATCCAGATCCGTTCAACCGTTCTGGCGTGATTGAGTAACAAACATCTATCCAAACATTTATAATATATATGGGATTTACAAAATATGAAATATAGTTACACTGCGTTCTATGTTTCTATATTAACAAACGGTTTTTTATCTTTCCACTTTTTCTATCTTTCAATATGAAAAGGCTACCCGAAGTCCCGAAGAAGTTTACTTAGTTCGCTAATGCATACCAGTGGTTTTTAACGAAAAGATTATTTGGAGATTCAAATAAATATTGCGTTGTGGGCTATCTATTAGCACGTGAAAAGGTTAAAAGGGGTAGATTTCCAAGAAATAGTTTTTTGTTAAGGTCAGCTTAAAATATTTTAATAATCTGAATATATTTAATATTACAAATGAGAAAGTCTCTTTGCTACGTTTTCTTCTTCTTGAACCACTGAATAGATTTCGATGAAATTTGGCTTAACCCGCTTACCATGCCTGCGAAGCCGCGAGAAAAACTAATCTATAGATAGGTACATATAATAAAATAGTAACTTGGTGAAATCTGTAGATAAATGTTATATTTTTTAAAACAATGACTGTAACGTATTGTCTACAGAATATAGAACCCAAATCAATAGTAAAAAAATGTCTGTTTATCTGTATGTCTGTTCGTCTGCTTAGGTGTGCGCGTTTCACGCAAAAAGTACTGAACCGATTTTAACTAAATTTTGTGTAGTGATAATTTATTACTTGGGTCAACATACAAGATACCTTTTACTTTTGGAAAAAAAATCATTCCCACTGGAAAACACAATAACTAGTTTCTATTGAGTGTCCTCCTTAGAAAACATGTCTGACGCTGGCTAAACTTTAAGAGATATATCAAAATTATGTACTAGATAATTGTAGTCCTTAAAAAGGCGTACAGATATATATATATATATATATATATATATATATATATATATATATATATATATATATAAAGCGCACCTAGGGACGCACTCGAGTAAAGCGAGGGTAAGTTGCTATTGTGAATATTTTATTAGATGTCAAGTCAACGATATTATATTATGACGTTTATTTACTTGACTTAACTTATTGACTGCGTGACCCTAATTAAAACTAAATAAAAATTTAGATTTGCATATAACGTGCCTTGAATTCATTATAGAAAATAATAGCTAATACACGCAATTAGAGGAATATAAAATTAAATAATACTCTCAGTAAGATCATATTTTAAATTAATGTGTTAAGACAGCATCTATTAAACTGAAGATGTGAGCCAGTTTGCCACCAGATACCTGTAAAGTGTACTAAGTGATGTGTTGTTGTTCTAGGGACGTTGTTGACGGCGAACGTGTGTGGTCCTAAAAAACCTTTTTACAACACACTAAATTAAAAAAATAAATTCAACCATTCTCAGCTTTAACACGCTCAAAGTAAAGCTTACATTTCTATAACAGAATATAACTAATATAATTTTTCGGTAGGATATACGTACATATATGTAGTTCAAATAGTATTTTGTAGGATAAAAGGAAAGTGTTATGGTTTGGACTTTTTAATTCGGTCTCAATTGCATTTGGGTAAGAGATATTTACATTTGTGAATGTAAATGAAGGTGCGAGATGCGATTTGCACCAGACGACGCGTGGGCGGACCATTGTTCCATGAAATACTGTTATGTTGCAAATATAATTAGATTACTCACTTTCATTGAAATTGCGTATGAAATTAAATTTTAAAAGGTTTTGTGATTAAAATCATGTAAGTCGAAGAGACAGTGGTAGCAGTGATCAGTTATATCCTCGCTTGAGAAACCAAGTGAAGCGGCTTCAAATCCCGGATTGCGATTCAACTAATAACTTTCAACATGACTTAGTTATCTTACGGTGAAGAAAATCACTTTGGGGATGATGGGGATATGAATGTTTTAGAGAATAATATATATGTACCTACATACACATAATATGTAGGTTCATACATATAAGTCGATATAGTAAGAAGTAGAAATCGCTTCAGCTAATGTTAATATTAATATGAAATCATACACACAACTTTATTAACTTTCAATAAGTCGAGCGGCCCGCCATTAATAAGCTAATGACATAGGCTTGACAGGTGGTTATCGTGTTATCTAGCGGAAACAGTGTGAGCGGGCGCTATACGTCAAAATATTATACCTTTGATTTAGTGCCCCTTTCGTCGAGAAGTGCATTGATATATCAATTATTTCGAGCATGTGAGCTTGGTATTTTTAAAGCACGATCTTACTTTCATGTCATTCCATCTGAGATTAATCATTAATTATCATGTTCGATCCGTATTTCGTATTATCTGATTTGGATGAGGAATTCTTTAATATCAGAGCAACGTCAGAATAAAATATTAGTGCGTGATTATTATATGAGGTCATATTGTTATAAATATGCGCATAACAACATAATTTTATGGTTTATATTTAAATTCAATTTGAAATATTTTGACAGTTCTACAGGTAGTGTTAGGAATTAATAAAAGCAAATGCGAGTTAAGTCGCGATTGTTTGTAAATAGGATGCGCCCGCGCCGCGGGGTGCGGCTCTTTAATCGGAAACACGAAGAAAGTGTGACCATTCGTAACTCGGCCATTATTTTTACACTTCGTCATTGAGGTTGCATTATCTTATAATATTAAATGAGTAATTTTTGTGTAGGTATATATATATATATATATATATATATATATATATATATATATATATATATATATAAATTTATTTTATGTATCTCGGAAACGGCTCTAACGATTTCAATCAAATTTTGTATTTAGATAAGGTTTTGCTTTTTAAGTTTATCTGTATTGCCTTTTTTGAAAAAACTTAATTTTTATATTTTTTCCGAAAAATAGCGAGCTAGCTCGATCGCTTAGGTACTTTCTTTAAATAAACAATAATATTTAATGGAATTTATTTTGTTGTTACAGATTTGGAATTGCGGGATTAGTTTGAAAAGAGAAGTAAGCATACCATTGACATTAATATATGTATAGATAACTACTCGAATTTCTCAGCGAACATAATTTCACACACAGTATTGAGATTTTTCATTCTTCTATGAACATACTAACATTTTTAAAGGTTCTATTGGCTTTGTAAGTCAGAATTGTCAACTCTAGCAAAGGAATATTTGAATGATAAAACGTGATGAATTTATTCACAAAAAAAAAATCATCTCCGTAATCTTCGACGATCTCATATAAATCATAATAACGATTTAGATTCACGATGAATTGTTATGATTTATTTGGCGTGGGCCGACGTGAATAAACCTATATATTAACATAATACAATGATGTTTGACGGATCAGGCAGGTACGATCAAACTATACAACTTTAATAACACGACTCTACTTGCAATGGCAATTTTATATTTATCATCTTGAATACCAGTTTTCTTAATAATTATAATAATAATACAATAACTGACTCATTTTAAAACTTTATCTACTGTTAACCACTGCAGTTTTATTGAAAAAGTTTACGAACGTCTTTGCTATTACGTGATTAGTTGACGACCTATAAATTCATTTGTAAAATAAGTAATATGTATTTTTACTATAAACGATGATTTGCCTGAGCATAGTATAAAATATTTTATTTGCTTGTATATATTTTAGCAAAAAAAAAAATTAAAAAAAAACTTAAAGCACAGTTGTATAATCTTTAACCACCAACAGATGGACAGAATGTCACGTCCTATAATACAAAAAACAGCTATCGTAAATATTAAACGAGTTTTTTGTTTTATTTAAATCACATTTGAACGCTATCGGGAAGGGTTCATATTGATTTTGTGTGTTTATCTTGATGGGTGACTTTTCGAAGGCTAACGTAAAGTGTATACTTGGCTGATGCATTCATTTTTTTTTGTTGAAAGAAGTAAGACACACTCATTACCAGTTTACTTTTGTGAAGTTAATGATATCGATAAGAGTATTATTTTACACATTCGAAATAGAGTATAAATAATTTAAAAAAATATCGAATACTAAAAACATCGATTTAGCATTTTTATGACGATTGCTATAGTAATAATATTAAATGTAGTACAAAGTATTTTAGTGAATTACTATCGTTAGTGTAAATTTCATACAGTGGTTGGTATATGTATGTATGTCATAGTTACGTAAAGGAATATTATTTACGTTATTTAGGTAACGAATGCTTAGCTCAGATCGCTGTAAAAACTATTGGCCACGAAAGGGCTGTAGTCATATTCTATTATGCAATATGTTATTTAATAGGGTATTCATATTTATAAATGGAAACCTAAAGAGTAAAACTTCTTATCGTGTTATCCTGTGATATCATAAAATAATATTTAATCCAACATAATTTACATGCCCCAAAGCATGTCGTATGTCGAATCGATATCAGTCACGGGTATTCGAATTAAATTAATGATGTCGATTGTCGATACGCGACAATACATGCCTACTGCCCGACATCGACATGTGATTGATAACAACTCCGCTCATTCTTCGGGTGCATGGAGGTTTATAAACATGCTGCCTATTATTTAAATGTTTCAAGTTACTTATTCTTATTGAATTCACTTTCGTGTTACAATTTATAAATATGATTAGACAGAGATTGGTACAATATTTCTAAACTATAAAAATTTGGTAGAAAGGAAAAAAGTTAAAACTTTTTTCTAATTATTCATTACTAGAGATTCACCCTCGCTTCGCTCGGGTTCGCCTCTAGAAAAAATATAATAATAATTAATATTGCAATCATTGAATGAAGGTTAAGTTTTAATATTATATGTACCTAAAATACAGTTACAAAGTCATATAGGTTTCGTTAGGTGACCTATCTGCGGTTTGGACGTTAGTTTCCTGGTCCAACTTTACGAGCACCACAAACCCTTGGTAATTAAACCCGCTGTAACCTTTAACGATACACCACAGACCATTGTCTCTTACGGAATCAACAACAATGTAAATAGATAATTGTAAAGATATTTACGATATGGTAGCTGTTTTAATTGTCTATAAACCTATATCTCTAATGCCTTACCTACTGATACGTGGGATTCGAAGAAATTGAATACACTGCTGTGATTTACTTTTACTATAACGTCAAATTTTAAAGCGTTTTTATCTATACATATAATAAAATTGTAACTAAGCCGAATCTGTACATTAAATATTTTTGGAAAATCTTATTGAAATAAACATTATTATCGATACAGTGGCCGAATCTATAGTTTTTGTATTTTTGTGTGTCTGGCTGTCTGTTACCGATTCACAGAAAAACCACTGGAGGGATTTTGATGAAATTTGGTATGGTGATAGCTGGTCATCCGGGTCAACATACAGGATACTTTTTACCGCGGAAAAGTATCTCATTTCTGAGAAAAAATGCAAAAACTGCAATGTAAGAGTATACTAATCTGTAAAACCTAAGAATTTGGTTTTTGGTCATCTGAATGCAAGTTCAATGCTAGTTGTATATAAGTTTAAGTCGGGAAAATTATAACTCGATGTGAAAGCTGTGTACTCAAAAACATAAAAAAAATGATGAAATATTACGTAGAAAAGAGCATTTTTATTACCTACACGGCTGAGAAGTTTTCGTGGTTTTTTAGTAAGTATAGCAAATATTTATGGTTTCTATAAAAGTTATTTCTTGTAAAGACTCACTAAGATTTTGTTTTCTGTTATAGGTGTAAACTGTATATTAAATTTTTCCAATGGAGTGAGCTTAGTAAGAACGGCTAAGGGATTTTTATCAAATGACAATAATTTATATGGTATAATAAGCATTGTATTTATTAGACACTCGTTTTCGCCTGTGGTTTCACTCGCCTGATGCGTTACATAAAAGTAGATCGTTTCTTCATCCAGAAATAATGTTTCTATTACGAATTTAACTTTAAATCCATAGCACAGTTACTGCGTAGAAGTAACAAACATACTCAATCATTTTTTTACCTTAGATTATCTTTCAACTTTTAAAAATATTTTTATACCAGCAACTTGCTTCGCTTCGCTCCGTTTCGTCGTTTGTTCGTGAAAAACAAAAACAAATCTATCCCACAGAAACCGTACATTTTTTCGGGATCAAAAGTAACCTATGTGCTATTCTAAAGTATAATCTATCTGTTTGCTCAATTTCACCTAAAACTGTTCAGCCATTCTGGCGTGATTGACAAACATCCATCCAAACTTTCGCGTTTATAATATTAATGGGCTTCGCATTGTATATTCATACATATAATATGTAATTATAAATTAAATATTACTTACTCCTTTAGGAGGTAGGTACTTCCTTCATATTAAGCTTTCATTAATCACGGTAGAACTGCTGAGATACATCAATCGTTTACTTTATCTCCATCGGATATGACATCAGATTGTTGTAACCGCATAACTTTAGCTTTCCACAGAATATTCAATATATGACATAGGTTTTTAATATGTTTTGTTTAAATACTGGCATTGTGAGGTTATTTATATTTGCATAAACCTTATTTAACCGTAGAAAAAAACCTTTAAAATTGTTGGTTTAATAACCAATTTCATACAAAGACTTTACATTGAACTAAATTGACCTAAAAAATCCTGTCTCAAAAGTAAACGAAGTCATGCGGACTCAACGGCTACGCAGATTTGCGATTTTACTCTTCTTAATGACTCACATCAAATACCTGAGAATCATAAAGGCTCTTTATATGCAATGATGGCTATTTACAGTTTACGGAATCGAGTAATGTAAACAAAAGTGAACCTTGGCGTTTACATGACAAATTCATGTTTTACACCGTTTCAACGTGATGCGTCATTTGATTGTATGATCTAAAGTAATCGAAGGGTTCAATATATTTATGTAAGCAAGAATATATTTTTAGTTTGACGATCCACTTAGCGCGACGCGACGTGCATCTACTTGGAAGGAAAACGACATGTTATATTTTAAAAGATTCTTCGAACTATCACCCCGGCGTGGCGGCACGGGCGCGCCTTCACAGCACGCAATAAAAACGATCGATTATTACCTATTTGTGTGAAAAGCGGAAGGAATAGGGCCAGTAAAGCGTCGAGGTGTGTTACAGGCACGAGCCTTCGCGTCGTTCGTGAGAAACGTCAATATTTAATCACCTCGCATTGCTACGCTTCGAAATTGTCTCGACGATTTCGATATTTTCCAATGTCAAATATTATGTTAATAGCTGGACGGACCGATGTTCCTGCGACTCTATTAATTGCCCATCGACGTTGTCCGTCTTGCGTCACGTGAATGTCTTCGTAAACAGATTTATCTCAATCGTAATTGGATAGAACTCGTTTTTATTTGCGCTTTCTACGCATAAATAAATATGTATATTAAGGCGGTATCTGGCACGCGTCAATCAAAACGGAATGTACATGAAAACCACCGATTTGTCACTACGCCATTTTGAATCATTTACAATAGCATACGCCATTTTGGTGACAATAATTAACAGATAGTTATCTTTGACGGTCCGCTTTCTAGTTTTTGTTTTTAAAAGTAATTATCATTACAAAAAGCGACACGATCTCTTGCTTACGGTATTCTGAATAAAATTAGGCGGCTCAATTCAATACGGTTTAAAAGAGGATATTACGACCGTCTAGAACAGTAGATTTCGTATATATAGTGTGTAGCAGACACAAAAAATAATCTAAAATTATATTTTTTAACATTTCACTTTATCGTACGCTAAGTTACCTAAATAAAACACAAATCGAACAACATTTTTGCAATTATTAAAAAACGAATTAAATAAGGCATTACATTTTCTACTATTATCTTCTAAAGAATAGACAGGTTTATGACTTGATAAAGTTTATTTATTGTTAACTAATAATTAACATTATATACAAAAACTAGCATTGCCCGCGGCTCCGCCCGCGTTCAGATGACCAAAATCAAATTCTTAGGTTTTACATATTAGTATACTCCTACATTGCAGTTTTTGTATTTTTTC